TTTTTTCTTATTAATTTCAAATGGTATTCGTTTGCATATATAGTAAAATAATAGAAGATATAGATAATTGAATATATTTTTATCTTACGTGATACAATCAATTAGATTAAGATATTGTTTCATTGATAAAATAGAAAGGCATGTCTTATGAAGGATTTTTTTTCTTCTCTTAAATGTAGTAAGAAATTTGATTTAGAGTTTAAAGGTTTACGGTGTTAGTTTTAGATTTAGATTTTTTTAAAATTTAAGGTTTATCATTTAGGGTTTACTTTTTTGAATTTAGGGTTTGTGGTTTAACGTTTGTGATAGTTTTACTTTAAATTTTATTCACATATTAAATAAATATAAATTAGAATGAACTCATTGTAAATAAAGATAGGTTAAATATAATTTACTTTGAATTATATATATACATATATATATGAGATAAGATCCTGCTACACAAGGTGAACATTTTTTATTTTTTTCCCGGTGAATACTATCATGGTCCTAATTGATTTCAAACGATCTTTCATATTTTTATGCAATAAAGAATTCGATAATACTATAAGCCCAATGTCAATCTCGTTCCTTTTTTTCTTTTTGATAGGAAGGAACTCATGTTCATATAATTTGGAGATTTGTGAAAGCGTGTATATATCATCCATGTATTTTTTTTTATATAAATAATATGGACATATGAGCAAGCGATTATGGCGTGGGACATGAACACCTCACTGCTTGAAAAACTGTAATTACATAATTGGTATTGAAAATTCATCCGATACAAGTAGGTTGCGACATCTTCCAAAAGTCGTATCATCACCGTAACATGAAAACTATGATTTGCACACAGAAAATTTTGAATCAACATCACATTTGATTTCGCAACGTTGACTTTTAGTTGTGTCTTAAATTTCAGATGAAAAATAAGTCAAACTCATCATAACAAATGCTTCTCTGTTCAGATTTACAAACAACGAAGACAGCATATAATAAATTGTTTTCACGAAGTAATTATGAGAAAACTGTATGTTCCATTTAAAGATAAATATATAGTTATGTCAAGATATCGATCATATAATTATATTGATATCCCCATCATATATATAAACTCGCGTCTTTTTATAGATCACAACTATGTAATCATAGTTGTGTTATTCTTTTTCTTTCAAATCTTCCTCAAACCAACATGGTAGCAGTTGCTATCCTAATCAATTTTGTTTAGAATTCATTAAATATCTCAATATTAAAAAAGAATGTTAATTTCATTAGAGAATCTTTTTCAGAGTTCGAGCAGCAAATTATGCATTGTTAGTAATTAAGAAATATTTTGAACAGATATTATCTTATGATTATCACATATTATTAAAAAAAATTGGCATAATATTATTAAAAAATAGAGCTATAGAATTTGATACATTATTTGGATCTACAATAGGGATGATGCCAATTAGGTTATGCTATATTTCTTAGATTTTTTAAATTCAATTCTTATTTTTTACATTAATTTTATGGTTTATTTTTATTTTGATAAAATGATATTGTTCCTTTTTTTTACATATATTTGATAAAGTTTCAATTTTTTCCATAACCAATTTTGAAAAATATATCGATTAATTTTATTTGAACTCACTTCTAATGTAGATCAAATCCAGATATTTTGATAAAAATATATTAATTAATGTGCTTGTTTAAACTCCAAATATTTTTAAATTGTAACATTAAGCACTATATCAGTTATAAATATTTATGATATTAATTAAAATTGTTTATAATATTATTTATCACACTAATTTGAACATTTTATGAATGTAATAGTAGTGCATTCAACATTCACATTAAAGTGATCTTTTTCATAGTATGGAATGATTATAAAATAATATATGTTTTTAAAAAATAGTTTATTGACAACAAACATAATAGCTCGAATATGAATCTTTTAAAAAATAATATTATATTTTATCATTGAAACCATTTAATGAATTCTTCACTCTAAAACTCTTAAATTTATAATTTACATGATATAAAATTTAAGCACATATTATATTCCTATTGAAAGAAAATAAGTCGTCATAAATGATTAATTGATCCAAAAACTATTCGACACACCAAGAAAAAGTCAATGGCATACCAAATTAGAACATTTCTGAGAAAGCACCAAAAATTTCATCACACGACCCTTAATTGCGTTTGAATTTCTTTTATTCTCGGTACATGCTAATATGAAATCAACAAACAAACAAAATGTGCTTGAGGATTGTGACCATTTCCCTGTAACTTGCTTGGAAGAAATATATTACAAGTATTTTGCGTGTATCGAGTCGATGTTGAATTTAAAACATTTGTAACATTTAACCGGAACATCTTTTTTGAAAAAAACACAAACTAAGGTAAACGAATTGTTGTTATTCCTTGAGGTTTTGGGTTCGAGCACTATGAATACAAGGGATATGGACTTTCAATGTCAAATGGTTGATAGTTATCTTTAAACAAATATTATCTTACACTCACCCTAAATAAATTAAAAAAAAATATTTGTAATATTAGAAGACTATTTTAGAAATTTTAATAGTTGAGGGACTCAATAAAACAATGTACTATAGTCTAAGGATCATTTTGTAACTTTTAATAGTCGAAGAACCATTTGTGTACTTTACCCTCTATAAACATAATCGGATCTCTTGCCACATTGAATGTGCCTAAAAAGTTAAATTTATGTAGAATTAAAATTGGGTTCATACTTTCCTTCCAACAAACAAATGAAAAGGTATTTAATTGGTGTGTCGACTCCTTTGAAATTTACCAACTCTTGGTGGAAGTTGCCTTTAAATGCCTCTCTTTTTTTTCTTTCTAAAGTCAAATTATTCTTATTTTAATTGTTTTTGTTTTTATTTTCATTTTCATTAATTATCAAACGCGAATTTGTGTCCAACAATAATCATTGTGGTAGCATTTAAATTATAATTGATTTCAGCCCACTTGGTAACATTCATCAAATCATTACCTAAGAGAAAAATTCTAGAAATATTTCCAAACATCATCGCAATATTCCTATCCATGAAATTTCATAATTTTCCCTTTTTTGAGAAATATTTGGAAATGGGCCCATACCTATTGGGAAATTGTTAAGGGTCTTAATAAAAATTTGTTGGACTTCAATAAACTTTATGGATTTTTTTTAGCATTTTGGTAATCAACGAATAGTAACGAGGAAGGGAAGTTAGATTGCCAACAGTGATTGATTAAAACAACTTTTTAATAGTTTTTAAGGAAAACAGTGAGAAAGTAGCTATGGTGGATGGATACGAAGAACGGCCAGTGATCGGAATGTGTAAATAAGTGATGAGCAGTTGAGTGTTTGATATTAATTTAGTAAGATGAATATTGAGAGAGAAAATATTAAATGTGTACTCTGAATTAAAGTAAATTGCAATACATCGCTCTTTAACTAACTAGTTAACACCTTCAACAAACTATAACAAATATTTAACAGCTAAGCATTCTATCACAATATTATTCATCATAAATTGTTATGACGGTATCATAATTGTTAATGTCGAGTTTTATTAATTAAAAGGTCACATTGATTATTTTCTTAGTTTAAAAACTACATTGAGTGCAAAATAAATCTAAAAACCACATTCGTTTTTTTTTTAAAATTAAGGACCACATAAATACTTCATTTGCATGTACGATATTGATACTTTGAGGATCTAATTATAATGATTTAAAGTTCAATAAACAAAATCGAAATATAACAATTGTTTGGGAAAACTTGTTGAGAGTGGGATTTGAACCCACGCCCTTTCGGACCAGAACCTTAATCTGGCGCCTTAGACCAACTCGGCCATCTCAACTTCGTTGTCCGTAAATCAACGGGTATATTATATAACTAAATCTATTAGCTTAGAAGACCTTGTAGCTGCTTTTTATGAGTTTTGACCCTAAAATACTTGAGCTTTCTTGTCAGCTTGGACATGACAGCACATTGGTAAATTTAGGAGTCATAGGCTTATTCGCTAGCCATTAGTGTGTGTCAACTTAATTTAAGATTAATTGAATGTAATTTCAACAGAAAATATTATTATTTTCAACTTGAAAAGTTATATAAATTTATTATATTTTTTATTTAACCTAAAAAATTATATAAATTTCTAATATTTTCAGTTTAATCTAAAATGTCACTTTGTCCAACCTAAAATATTAAGTTTTTGATAACATTTTTTATTATTATAAACCGATTTCTACCATTTTCTAGTCTTATATTAACAAGTATTATAGACTCTCCACTAACCGTTGCTTATAAAAGGATTCAAAAGCAAAAGCTTTTACTATGGGAAAAACCAAAGCCACCTCCATTTATTCTCTCTGTTGAAACATATAAAATTACCATTTGTAAATTCTTATTAGTAGCAATGAATGAAATATAAAATTGAAAATTTTGTGGTGACTTTGGCAGCTTTTGCTTTTGAAAAGGACAGCACTTCTTCGGGAATGTATATGCAGGAATCAATAGGGTTTGGAATCAAATCTGCATGTGAACGATCATCCATGCATATTAAAAAGAAGAAGAAGAAAAGCTTCGAGTATTGTTGATGGGAGTAGGGGTGGAGGGTGTTTTCAAATAAACAAAGAAACCCCAAAGACTGAAGAAATAGGTTGAGAGTGATTGGATGTCCTAATTTACTAATTTAGTAGAGACAATAATTAACGTACTGATCTCCTAATTTACTAAATGCTGTCAAGTTATTCGGTGTCCAAAAGGTTGAGAATTATTGGACCACCATGGCAGACCGTGACCATTAATGCTGTTACCTCTCTTCTCTTTCTCTCCTAATGTTGCTGCTGTTGTCACACATTTAAACAACTTAAAAAATATAAACATTATTATTGCAATCCAAGACCATGGTGTCTCTCTAGCCTTTAGCCCCACATCTTTTGTAATTTTATAGATTTTTTTAGTCTTTCATGTGATTTACAGTGCCTAAGCTTTCTTTGCACGTATTTATACTATACCAATTCCCAGCACTTTCAAGCACTCGCTTTCTCTTTTTAGTCTATATGTGTTTCTAAGTTTGTGAGCAAACCATGAAGCAAAGCTTTCTTTCTGGTGTTCTTCTCTTCTTAGTATTACTTATCTCCTTTTACCATTTATCTGCTCGTTTCATAGCAGACAAACGAGGTGAGCGTGTCTCATAGTCTCAGTTTAATTTCGGAGTCGAATCAGATCAGATCTTTTAACGACGATCAATGAAGCTAAAATTCAGTAGCTTCTATGCAGGAAAAGAAGAAGTAGAGCTTACTCAAATCACAGATAGGGAAGACACTGAACTAATGAATGTAAGCTTAAACTTACCCTCTTTTTTCATCAACGTTGGTTTCTATCCTCTAATGTTTTGGCTAAATATTTGATGTTTCTTGTTTTCCTATGCTTTGCAGCAACTATTTGGAGTAGAAGCTTGTGATGCTGGAGATGATGAGTGCCTGAAGAGAAGAATGATATCAGAGGCTCACCTGGACTACATTTACACCCAGAACCTTAAGCCTTCAAAGACTCTTCATTAAGATTTACTTAACCTTGCATAGTCTGGGTTCTGGTTAAGGTCTATGTTCATATGTATCATGTATGTTAATCTAAGCTTAAAAATGATGATTAATGTACATGTAAATGTTAAACCCAAAATTTGTAGCCAAATGGTTTTATTCTTTGTTCTCTCTAATCTAGGTCGCCAAAGGACAACGTTGAAAGCAAAGCGCTAACTGTTAAGCAGTCCCCTGAAAGTAGTACCAAAATTAAATGGAGACAGTTGGGGGAATTTATGCTCTTTGAGAATATAGTGACAGATGATCCAGCTGCATTTATTCAGTTTCATCAGTTGAAAATTCCAAATCTTAGGGCCTAGGTGGTGCTGAAATTGCAGATTCCACGGATTACACTAAATAACATCTTTGCACTGTCTTAAATATCAGTACTTCAAATTGAGTAATGTTGGTTTAAGGAAGAAGAATGAATGGCAGCCTCTTATACAAACCATGGTGAAAGACATTATTAGATTAAACCAAGGTCCCATCCCTTGTACGTGGATAAGATCACTCTCAAGTCCCAACCAATCAACAGAAGCTGATAGATGCTAAAATTTATGTTGAAATCGATGCGAGAGCTCTATCAACTATGTTACAGGTTCCATGGCTTCCTCATATACGTGTCCATTACAGTATATTTGAGCATTTAGATTAATTTTGCGCAGAAAAACCCTGTAGTTTCTGCAACAAGTATCCGGATGCCAGAAAGGTTACACTCCCTAATGTCAAAACCAAGTTGCTGCATGCACAGAACATTCCCCTATTTGAGAATGGATTTAAAGCAACAATAGGAATTATCAGAACTGGTGCCTCATTTTTTTATTATTGGGCTCTGAATTTTGTAATATGGAGGAGGCTGGAATGCGGGTTGAATAATCGGTCGCTTGGTTGTTTGAGGCTTGTGGGTCAAGTTAAACTGGGCCTAGAGGCTTGTGGGTGGCTCGGTGCTGAAATAGCCGGTGGTATGTTGGGAAGAAATATTGAATTTGTTAAAAGAGGGAGTAAATATTGAATTTGTTATTAATTGACATGTTATATGTCATTTAAAAATTAATGACATGCACAAACTCTAGTGACCTCAGTGGTAAAGAAATTGTTATTATATTTTAAGGTTCCGGATTCGAGCACTATCAATACCAGGGGTACGAGCATTCAATGTTAAATGGTTGAGTTATCTTTGAACATATATTATCTTGTACTTATCCCACATTAATAAAAAAGAGAGTAAACTATGCGAATAGTATCTTTTGTTTAGGGTCTGACCGACTATAGTCACCAATTTAAAAATTAAGGATAAATGGTCCTTCACATTATAAGTTCGTCCGGTTTAAGTCCCTCTACTATTATTTTCCGTTAACCTCCTTTTGTTTAAGTCTCTAACATGGTTGAGGGACTAAAATTGAACGGGAGTTAATAGGTGAGAGACTAAAATCAAACGGATCGATAACATTATGGACTAAAATCAAACGGACTGATAACGTTATGAACTATTTCCCCTTAATTTTTAAACTGATGACCAAAGTCGATCAGATCAAAAACATAATGGACTATTAGCATAGTTTACCCAAAAAAATTAATGATATAATTTTAAGTTATTATTTTTTAAATTTTAGGTGATCGCTTTATAACGTATTTTGCCATTATTAAATCAAGAGCTTTTTAAAATATATATATATATATATATATATATATATATATTGAAATGTGTTTATGAAGAGCTATATTTTTAACATTTACATTAAATATTTAAATTCTAAATTAAGATTCTTAAGACAATATCAAATTAACCATTAAAAACATATTTTACACTACAGCAAAAATGGTTTTTAGCGGCGGATGTAGCGGCATTTTTACTGCAAACGCCGGTAATTGTTTATATATAGCCGCAAAATACTATACTTTAGTGGCGTTTGTATAAAAACGCCGCTAAAGAATCGTAATGTAGTGGCGTTTTTATACAAACGCCGCTATAAACTAGTATTTTAGTGGCGTTTTTACACAAACGCCGCTATAGACATGTACTTTTGTGGCGTTTTAATACCAAACGCCGCTATAGACTCGTACTTTAGTGACATTTTTACACAAACGCCGCTATAGGCACGTACTTTTGTGGCGTTTTAATACCAAATGCCGCTATAGATTCGTACTTTAGTGGCGTTTTTTACACAAACGCCGCTATATACACGTACTTTTGTGGCGTTTTAATACCAAACGCCGCTATAGACTCGTAATTTGATTGTTTACTTCAGAACGCACCGTTTCTTTTTGCTTGGACTTAGGAGCATTTTACTTCGCCTAAACCTTTCACGTTCTCATATTCTTCAAGCTCTAATGGCAACTCGCGCCTTTTTAAAATCAAAGTTTCCAATTTTAACGGCGATCCTCCTTCAGAACCTCACAAAAAACGGCATAACGAGATCTCCGTTTCTTCTAAAACCTCAGATTTCACCTCTACTACCCGTTATCCATAAACCAATTTCAGGGTTTAAGCAATATCATGATGGGAGACCAAGAGGTCCCCTTTGGAGAGGTAAAAAGCTGATAGGGAAAGAAGCCCTTTTCGTAATATTAGGTTTAAAGAGATTTAAGGATGATGAAGATAAACTTAAAAAATTTATTAAAACCCATGTTTTAAGGCTGTTGAAGATGGATTTGATTGCGGTTCTTTCAGAGCTTGAAGGCCAAGAGGAGACTTCTCTGGCTGTGAAGGTACTCGTATTTTTCATTTCTATTGATTTTTTTTTAAATTTTTCTTATTTGGATTGTATCTTAAATCTGTCGGATTCGTAATATTTTTTTGAGTTTAAGTGAATTGAGATTGCTTTTATTCTGTTCGATCAAATGCTCGAAAAAGATTTTGATATAGTTTTTAAGTGAAATGATATTTTCTTTACCTTTATGATTACAGCCCCCTTTGCCTATTTTGTTACCAGCATCAACTGGACAAGGTTTGCAAATAAGTGCACAGTTAACACGACAGGATGATCAAATATTTTACAGCTTGCTGTTTGAGAATAACACACAGATCGCTCTTGATGGGTTCATGATTCAGTTTAACAAGAATTCGTTCAGTCTGGCAGCTGCGGGACCTCTTCAGGTAATCACAATTTGTGTGATCTTTACACTTTTGTTAGTTTATTGTTGCATTTTCGGGATATAACTGGTACTGTCTGTTAGGGGTGCGGTGCAGTGCATGTCCGTTTTAGTTCCTGTTAGTTCTTAACTCAATTGTCCCAGGGTCGTTTCCTACTGTTATGCCAAAGTTTCTTGTTGGGAGGAGAGGTAATGGTTAGATCTAGCTAGTTTCGAGTCTGTTTTGGCCGGGATGCATTGTTGTCTGTTTTTTAGGTGCATTGGTGAGAGTTCGATTTGTGTTTTTTGGGGTGGTTTGTGCTATATGTGTGAAGTTTGGCCCCGGTTTGTTTAATTGGGTTTTTGGATTCGGTTGTTTGCTTTTACGGTGTAATTTTTGGTTGTAAAAAGTTTAAATCGGAAGTAAAAAGTTCCCAGGTACTAATCTATATGTTTAATTAAAAAAAGCAAGTTGCAAAGGAGAAAGAAGAAATTTTTGCTTTATGCGGTTTTGCTATGATCATTTCCTTTTAATACAGAAGCATCATTTTTCTATGTTGCAACGTGAAACTGAGAAACTTCCACTCTCCCCTGATTTTGTAAAGCCTTCTTGATCCTTGAATGTTTACTTCTTGATCCTTGAATGTTTACTTTTTGTAAAGCCATTGCAATATATTTAAACTAATTAGATCTAACAACATTTGTCTATGTACCTTGTTTCAAGTAAAGAATATTGATACTGATCGAGTATATTCAAAACGAAGAAGAAATAACAGTTAAAATGCTTGAAACTTTGCTAAGATAGCCAATTGACTATGATGCGTGGACTGTACAAGCTTTGAAGTAACTTTTTCCTTTTAGTCGTTTCATACATCAAAACCATTGATCCACTTCTCAAGGAATTTGATGAGATTAATCAACGGTACTTGTGATGTGGGATTCATATGCATCTGTTTACAGAGTGCTAGCCGTCTTAACTGAACATTTGGAAACAAATGTTTACGGTTTAGCTTGTATTATATCGGGATTACTTCAGTTATTTCTGGTATCTTGTTGACTGTTTTGGATTCTTTGACATACCATCCAACCATTTCTTTTAGTCTTGGATTTTACTTTTTGCTATTGAAGAAACTTTTGTTTTAAATATTTTTTAGAACTGAATTTTTTAAGGACGGTCTTCATAAAATCTTCATACATGACTTTGTTACAATTATGACATCGAGACTAAAATGTATGGTTTTGTGCAGTGCCCAGGAATTTCAGATTGCTGGAAGAGCTTGAGATGGGCGAAAAGGGAATTGGGGATGGAACTGTTAGCTATGGAATGGATGATACTGATGATATATACATGCAGTCATGGACTGGGACTATTATTGGCCCCCTTAATGTGAGTCCCTCTCTCTCTTATTCTTTTCAGTAACCGTTGTGTTTGATTTCTGTGATTGTGCGAAAGGGGTTTGAAGAACTTTTGGGTTTATGTAATTGTAAGATAAACCCTAGAAACATTAAATTGTAATGCTTTTATTTCTTCGTTTAGGTTGAACTTCAAAATCAAATAATATGACAATATCATTGAGAGGGACAGCGATTAAGAAATTGAACAAAGAAGTTACTGCATGCACGTGAAATTTTTATATTCTTATTTAAGTATAGGGATTTAAGTATGATTTCACTATTTTAGCATATTTGTCACTGTTGACCTATCATTGGCAATGATATTCTACTCTATATTAAGCTTGGTAAATGTTGATTTATGTTTTCCGGATAACTTGTGTGGTTTTGATAAGTTCGTTCCTTCAACATCTGCTCCAAGGCTCCAACCATGATTATTACTATATATGACTGTTTGATATTGTTCAGTTATAACTGGCTGCAATCTCTAGTGATGTATTTGTGTCCTATTCATCAATGTTGAATAGTGTTTTTTGTTTCCAATCGT